TAGGACTCTGGGGAGTTCGAATAACATAATTCTTCTAGGAAAGCACTACCTACCTCTATAAATATAGCACCCTAAGTCATTGTTCAGGTACGTCTTTACACCATTCTCAACATATATCTTTTCATAAATTTCCTCTTTGACTTAAGCATCAGAGGGGTGACGAGACACTCCTCGACGCCTTTGTTTTAGATACCGGAAGACCTCGTTTGTGCTCATTCTCAATCGTCAAGCTCAAAAGTTAACAAGTACGATTTTTGGTAACATCACATACTTTGAAAATTTATATGAGTTTCATACGTATTTTAAAGTTACCAACAAAATCATAATTCTCAAGATCATAAATACTTGACATCAATAATATTTCGTTTGTGACAGAGAGAATTAAGTTGTATGTGAGCATTTTATTGAGATTAACTTCCAAACAAGAAATATCACTTGGTGGAAAAAGACAAATATTTACACAAGTTTGGATTAATAGATTGTACATAGGAATTTGTACAAACGGAACTATAAGTGTTATGCTGACAACACTTGTATGGTTGAATTTTTTTATTTTTTATTTCCAACCCCGAACGAAAATTGATTACTACATGATGTTCATTCTTAAATGTCTGCTTAACACAAGTTCTACATTTTCCATATCTACAATTGACACTTCAACAAACCAATCCAAATATGGTGTGAAACACAAACAATCAAGATCTTGATCCAACTTCATCTGGCTCTAAATAGGAGTAGCATGTGAAAAGTCCACTTCACCCCTCGAAAACCCGGTCCAAGAAGAACGCCACAAATCTAGCAGCCAATCTGCCAATCTTCAAACTAATCTTCATATTCTATACATCTGAAGTAGTCTTTCGAATTCCGTTTACTTCCCTTTCATTTTCACTGTACCTCGCTAATCAGCACTCCCACTCCAACTCCTCTCGTAATGTGCAAAAGTCAACATTAATGAACACCTGACAATGTCCCTCCGCCACCACCTTCTTCTCCTGCTCTTCATCATCCTGTCGGCCGCTCTTTCTCTCTCCTATCCTTTCAGTAAGTCCCATCACATATTAGTATTAGTTCCATTTTCTAGCTTGATTAATAATTAACTATCATCCGTTTATGTTTTTTTACAGACTACACTTTACATATTGATTGTGGTGGCCTAAGCAATTTTTCTGATGCATTCAAAACTACGTGCATGGACGGACCCACATGGGGTCA